TCTCTAGATTGATCCCCCTCAAAAAGCTTAGAAGCACAGATTGCTTTTGCATTTCTTTGCATCCCTAGTGCTTATCACAGGCCTGCAACATAAAAGGCACTTGATAAATGCTTGCTGACTTGACTTCAAGTTCAACCTCCTTCTCTGTAAATAACTCCTAAATGTAGATCTCTGAATCAGATCGCTCTCAATTTCAGCCTCACATTTCCAGCTGCCTGCTAGACTTTTCTACTTCACTTTTCCATTATCATCTCTAACTCACTTCTCCCAAATCAGTCTATTCCTAATTTTCTTATTTCTGTTCACAGAGTTTTATGAAATTTTCATCACGCCACTCCTCTGCTCAAAAATCTCCTCTGCCCATAAAAAAAAAATTTCAAACTCCTTAATTTGGTATTCAAGGCCTTCCACACTCATGGCCCAACACAGATCTCCAGTCTTATTACTCCTTTACCTGACCCTTAAACTCTAGCTAACCTACTCTATCCACCATTCCTGAAACACTTTTACACTTCAGTCTCTCAGTATGTGTTCACTTCATTTTCCCCTGATCATGCTATTCCTCAACTCTATGCCTTTCAAAATGCCATTCATCTTTCAAAGCCTAATTCTTATCTTTTTCCATTAAAATCCACCCTGACCACCCCAATACAAATTGATTACCTTCTCTAAAATCCTGTAGCTCTTATTGTCTATACTTTTATTTGACACTCACATATTAGCTTTTTTATGATTAGTTATGGGATTTATAGGTGATAAAACTAGGGAGACAAGTTGGGTGCTAATTATATAAAGATGAATACTGATCTACAGAGATTGGATTTTTAGCTTGTAAGAAGTAAGGAGGTATTTATCATTTTATGGTCTATGGCTAATTATTTCACATTTCTTATTTCCTTGCTAGCTTATAAACTGAGAACAGTGGTAATGTCTTCTATTTCTTTGTATACTTCATTGTACCTAATACAGTATCTTACATAGAGAAGATAATAAATACTTCTTGAATGAATTATTTTGTTCCTTAATATTTTTCCTTTTTCTTTTTTTTTTCCTTTTTTTTGGTGAGGTAACTGGGTTTAAGTGACTTGCCTAGAGTCACACAGCTAGTGAGTGTTGTGTGTCTGAGGCCACATCTGAACTCAGGTCCTACTGATTCCAGGGCTGGTGCTCTATCCACTGTGCCATCTAGCTGCCCCAATATTTTTTAAAAATCCATTACTTCATCAGTGTGAAATCTCCCTCACATGTAAAGTGATAATCTTCATCATGTGCTGTGGCCAAAAAAAAAAATCAATACTGGGTAACCAATCTTTCTGTGATCAATCTCAGGACAAATACCTTTACCTAATAACAAAGGCTAATGCATTAAAACCAGCAGACTACTATTAAAATCAGAGCCTTAGCAATTGTGGTGTCCAAGACAGGATACAGGAAATGTACCCTCGAATCAATAAGTTAATCAGCATTTATCAAATGCTTACTATGTACCAGAGAGCTAGGTGGTGCAGCAGTCACAGCTCTGGGCCTGGAGTCACAAGACCTAAATTCGAATCCAGCCTCAGACATTTATTAGATTAAGATCCCAGGCAAGTCACTTAACCTCTATTTGCCTCAGTCACCTCAACTATAAAATGGGGATAATAATAGCACCTACTCAACAGAGTTGTTGTGAGGAGCAAATCATGTATTTGTAAAAAGTGTCTGACACAGTGCCTGGCCCAAGCCAGCCTTCACTGCCCTTCTGGGCCTGGCTCCTTACTTCAGAAACATGTTTCTGCTGTTGCCCCATCCTGAAATTTTTCTTAATGCCTGGAGCCTCTTCACCCTATAACATCCAACCTGTAGTCTTTTCAACCTGTAATATCCCTCCACACAGCCAGCTCCCCTTCTCCTATTGGAGAATTCTTTCTGGAGCATCCACTTTCTGAAGGGGCTCAGACCACTTCCTGGTTCTGTTCCCTTCCTGGTCTGGCTACTCACTTCCAAACTTCAAAAGCATCCAAGTACCTTCATCTCCTTACTCTTCCATCCCCCTGCTTTTTCAGCTCCCTTCTGTATGTTTTCTCCCATTAGAATGTAAACTTGTTGAGGGTAGCATCTTTCTTTTTGCTTGTATTTGTATCCTAAGAGCTTAACACAGTGACACACAGTAAGTGCTTCCTTCCTTCCTACTTAGAGAGCTGTAGAGAGTGAAATGCAAAAATGAGATAATGGGGATTTAGTGAGTATATAATAGGACAAGAGGGAATATACATGAATCAATGTAAGGAAGAGGCCATACTACAGTATGTGAACTCCATCAGCAAAAAGCCTTTAACAATTCATCAGTTTTTCCCCTCTGTCTGCACCTCTCAATGACTGAGGCACTGGAGATTAAAGGTCCGCTCAACCTTAAGATTCAGCTTATTTCAATCTCCATCTTATTCTACGTAGCCCTAAATAAACAGTAAATAACAAAAGCCCATGTAGCCAATGTCACCACATAGATTGAAGTCTCAAAAGACCAGACAGCCTTCCCTGCAATACCCTGGTCCTTAATGTACCTCTTCCACAAACTGATCTAAGCAGACTGACTGGTGGAAAGTGCTCATCAGAAAGGAAACTGAGAAGGGTTACTTACACAAAAGGTCTCACTTACAGTAAAGAATTCTTGAAGAATCATATAACCCATTATCATGCACTCCAATCATAAAGACTTGGAACACCTCCAGAGCATTACCAATAAAAATAATGCTTAACCTACCAGGCATTATTTTTAATAGATCAAATTTCACCATTGCCTACATTCCAAGATACCAAAATCAGAAGGCTGATTCCTTCAAGATCATCAACTCATTTCCCTAATGGATTAGCCAGCCATCCTACAGACTAAATTCTGTCATCATTCAGTCTCAACAAGACCTATTAGATCTGATCTACCAGCAGAAGATTTTTAAAATGCCTACATACAAACCCAGTTACCTGTATTCTATGAAAGTGCACTTGAAAGACAGTCAGTGTCTGACAGGTTCCTGTACCTCCACTCTTACCTGTATGTTTTTCTCAGCAAAGTTCAATGAGAAATATCCCAACTTTGTCTAATGACAGGTCCACACAGTCCTATTCAAGACCTCAAGTACTATCATTTTGGACCACCGGTGGTATGTCCAATCCTTTGTGATATACACCAGGGGTAATTAGCTCATGGACAAGTAAGATTACTGCAACCTCTGCCAATGTCCCTCTGCAAGGCAAGAGTCCTATACTGACATATTCCATACCCTAAGCGACCATCACATATATATTTCTTCTCAAAGACGACTATACTACTGATTGAACAAGACAGTATCGTGTGAAGAAAGCACTGGAAATGTGTACTTAAACAGTTGTAGAGTATGGGGCCCAGACTAATGCAGTTATCTCTTGCAACAGCATATTCTTAAAATTAATCTTATCTGAAAGTACAACTGTGAGTGCCTCACAGTCACTTCTAAAACCTCTAGACTAAAAGTTAACCAGTCAGTCAAGTGTAGTACTAGAACACCAATATTACAGTACGTTGCCCACAGTATAAGGAATAAAAAAGGATAGCTTCATAATTAGTTATCAACCTTTGGGTCTCACAGCTCTCGAAACAGTTCACAAACCTCTGAAAATCTGCAAGGATATTATACAAACCCAAGACATGGATCATACAAAGTCTAAGAGGTCATTTTCTACTCATCACGTTATACACAGATCAAAATTATGCTTCCATGACAAAGCCCAGAAATCCAATGCGGTAAATATAAGGGCTCTGGAATCTGGCAGAGTCGGTAAGCTATCAATGGTAATGGTCTTGGTGGTAATGGCATTAAAGGTTCTGTAATAATGACAGAGTTTAAACTTCCTGCTCTTCTTCTTGGCAAACAGTTCCAGGACTCTGACAGAAGACACAGAGGGCTAAATAAGTCCATTCTACCATCCTTTCTCTAAAATTCCTGCAAAGCTAAAGTTTCTGGCATAGTAAATGAATAGATCTAGTTAGCTGAAATTGGTGCTTCTGTATAATTATATTGCTTATGTAGGGATATGTTTAAAAAAGATTTCTTTTTTTTTTTTTGGCCTCATCTATATTCAAGAGGCAACATGGCATAGCAGACAGTTAGGAAAATTTGGGTTCAAATCCCAAGTAATGTGCCAAGGATCACACAGCTTATGTCAAAACAAGAACTTAAACTAGTTCTCTTTCTGCTGTGGAAGAATGCATAAGATCTGTCCAAAAATGGAATGAATTTCCTCAGAAGTACTACATTCACTTTTCAAGAAGAAACTGGATAACCAAGCATGTGCAGGAATACTCTAGAGGGAACTGTACTAGATGACTCTAAGGTTCCTTCTCTATGGAAGGCTATGATTTTATGAGAACTATTTCAGTAAAACATATTAATTAACTTAAAAGCATCTTTGCTAAGTCATGTATACTAACTACTAATGAAAGCAAAGAGTGTTCCTAAATAACATCTGGAACTCAATTTAATGAGTACTTTAGATCAACTTTCTAGTCAAGCAATGCTAAAAAAAATAAACCATGAAACAATCTTTAAAATTGTACCAAGAAAATGATACACATACTGATTAATATGATGAAATATTATCAGATTCACTTTCAAACTGGTTTGTGTTCATTTATCCTGGGAAGTCTTCTTTAAAATGCTAGGAGTTTTAACAGAAACAGAAAATTATCCACATGTGATTAGGCAAACAAAATTTTGCATTTTTATGAAATATGTCAGTTATTAAAACTTCAAGATAAAAACCAAGTATGTGAAACTGATATCTAGCTTAAAAACTCTATCAAATCCAACAAAAATTCTTGAATATTCCCTTCTATAAATGAATTGTATACATTTTCTATAACTACTAAAGATAGGTGATGAATATTGTATTTTCAAAGCACATATTAGCATTCTTTAAATACACAACAGAAATAGTACACAAACAGCTTGGTATCTCATGTTATTTTGCATATATACTTCATTTTAGCTTTGTAGAGTATTTGCAATCATTGTGAATCTTTGCCTCAGACTCTCTCTTTTTTGTTTCAGAAGGTTTTCTAAAGTACTGGCTTCTTTGAAGATTGCATCAAACTCTTCAATGTAAGAAGCATCCACTGCTGCTCTCTCACTATTAAGGAAAACAAACCTAAAATTAAAATGTTATAAAATCCAATCATAATCAATTTTGTTGGATGTTGTTTACTTTAATATGTTGTTTAGACATTTCTTTCAAGCCTCTTTCTGTGAAGGATAGTTCCATAAAAGTTAAATTACTTTAAATCTTATGATACTTCAATAAACATATATCCTAAATTTGGAACTGTAATATTAATATTTGTTTTACACATTCACATAAACAAAGAATTAGATAAACTATTTGATAGTTTATATGCTGTCCTATATTTCATACCAGGTTATCAAAGTACTCTTTAACTTTTCTGAATACATTTTTAAAGATTTAAAATTCAAAAAACTGTAAATGTCATCACAACTAAGAAGTATTTTTCTTAAAAGTATCTATATATAAGAAAACCAAACAAATTATATTTAGCACTAAACTAGGCCAAGATGGATCAAAATTCCAATTCCACCACTTATTAGCTATGTTACCTTGGGCAAGTCACTTAACCTCTGAACTGTGGTTCCCGAGGTGTAAAATATGGGGCCTGATCTAGATGTCCTCTGAGGTCCCTTGAAGTTCTAAAGCTCTATAATCTCATGAATCAAAGGTCTATCCAGTTGAGTAGAATTGCTGACAATGGTACTGAATGACGTATAGCTCAAAGGCCATTCAAATCTGGATTCACATGGATTACTAGTTTCAAATTAGTGGTATTTTAGATAACAGGATCTTATTTGGTTTAAGCCACCACCCACAGTCCCAGCTAATCTAAACTCAGTGTTCACTATAGTAGCAGCCTAGACTAGAATATGTGAGTTTTCAAAGAACACATGCATTTTAAAAATAATTTAATTGGCACTAAAACAATTAGTAAAGGAACAGAGAAAACAATGTCAGTGCACAGACTTAGGGGATTAGGGTGTCACACCCAAATAAACAATGGAAAAAAAACAATGTCCTCGATGTCATTCTCTGACATGGCTGTACCAAAGGCTGGAAAGATTCCCTCACACAGTAGCTGAATCTCAAAGCATCTGCAGCTCTCCACATTCCCAGGTGTAGTGAGGAAATTATCTTCTTACTCAGTACTCTTCAACTTTATGGAAGCTGGGAAAAAGGCTATACCCTTTTGTTCTCCTTCCTGAACCAGTTACCAACGACAAGTTCTTCTCACAAAGACTCAGTTGCTGTCCTAATGCAATCACCCTGAGCCCTAGATAAACCATGTGCCTCAGTGCTAAGCAGAAGGCATATTTTTGCCTTAGCACTTAGCATAGTGACACATATTAAATACTTAATAAATGCTTGTTTACTGACTACGCATACAAAGGTAAAAAGGAAACAATCCCTGTCTTCAAGGAACTTACATTCTAATAAATATAAATAAATGTATGACAATAAAAAAGCAAACCTTAGATAGGAAGACACTAGCTGATGAGAACAGGACAGGCTTCCTATAGAGGATGACACTTGAGCTGTGTTTTGATGCAAGCCAGGGACTCCAAAGGGCAAAGGAGAGGAAGGAGAGCATGCTATACATGGTGCACAGCCTGCTCAAAGTCATGAAGACAGAAGACAGGAGTATCATGTGTGAACAACAGAAAGGAGGCCATTATAGCATGACCGTAGAGTGTGTGGAGGGAAATAATAAGTAAGAAAAACTAAAGAGGTAGAAAGGTGTCAGATTATGAAAAGCTTTAAATACCAAAAAATGTGTGTATTTGAAGCCAAAAGTAATATGCCACTGAAGTTTACTGAATAGAGACACAAGATCTACAAGGTCTACAGGGTCTATAGATCTACAATTTAGGAAAATCACTTTGGCAATTATGAGGAAAATGGATTACAGAAGAAAGAGGTTTAAGGCAAGGAGTCCAACTAACGCTATTAAAATAGTCTAGGCAAGAGGTGATGAAAGACTGAACCAAGGTGGGGGCTGGGTAACTAGAGAGAAGGGGACATATGCAAGATATATTTGGCTATAGAAACAAGATTTGGCAACTTATTGGTATGTGGGATGAGACTGAGGAATCAAGGATGACACTAAGATTGTGAACCCGGGTTACTGGAAAGACAGTGGTGCCCTCAACAATAATTGGAAAGCTTAGAAGACTTATGGGTTGGGGGGAAAAGATGAGATCTGTTTTGGTCATGAGTTTAAAATGCCTATTGGACATCATAAAAATGTCAATAGGCAGCTGGCAATGCAAGATTAGAGGTCAGGAGAGTACCTAGTACTGGATACAGATCTAGGAGTCATCTGTGTAGAGATTATAACTTAATTCATGGGAGCTGATTAGGTCCACAAAAAAGAAGGTATATAAAGGAAAAGGGGGCCCAGGAAAAAGCACTGGGATACATCATCTAGGATGTGACATGGCACTGTAACCTGAAAAGGAAAATTAAGATAGGAGATTTACATCATGAAAACACAGACAGGAAAGATTATTCAGGAAGACAGAGGTGGTCACCAGTGCTAAATGCTACAGAAAGATAAGAAGGATAAGGATGAGGTTTGAGAAAGTGTCATGTGAAATTTAGTCCTTGCCCCTAAGATGTGTCTCTATCACTGCAGTAATGCTGGAAGGGTCCCCTATGGTGCCCATTCAGCAGGATCTTTGTGAGATCCACACCTCCTGATGCTAGAAACCCAAGAAGAAAATCATTCAATAAAAGTTCTTTTTGCTACTACACTGTGTTTTTCATCCTGTTGCTCCCACAAATCAAACTCATGCCCTCCATAGGGTATTCAAATCATTAAGAAAAAAAGGGTATTGGGGCAACTAGGTGGCGCAGTGGATAGAGCACCAGCCCTGGATTCAGGAGGACCTGAGTTCAAATCCGGCCTCAGACACATAGCACTTACTAGCTATGTGACCCTAGGCAAGTCACTTAACCCCATTGCCTAGCGAAAAAAAAAAAAGAAAAAGAAAAAAAGGGTATTGATGTCAATTCACTAGCTGAAAAGGATATGTCTCCCTCCAGCAGGCACTTTACATTGTCCACAATCCATCCATGTCCTAAAAACAATACAAATAGTTTCTGAACATCACTAAACTTCCCCACAAAGAAAGGCTGTGGTAGACTTAAAAATCTCCAAATCTTTATTTACAGAAATAAATCCCTAGTCAATGTACCAAAGTTCTTTGTGTTAACTTTCCAAAATAAAGCTTCAATTTAGCTATTAAATCAATATACATTCTAAGACAAAGGCTTTTGCAATCTATGAATTTAGGATATATTACATGTACTTGCCTTAAAATCTGTGCATATTTAGTCAACAGTAGATTAATCTCCTTGCTCATATCTGCTAATTAAAAAGGTAGAGTTTTGAAATTATATCTTTGTCCATTATAAAATAAACTGCTCTTTCATTCTATTTGTGAGAAACATACGTATTTGTACATTACCATTTAAAACTTTCTCCAGGACTTCGGCTTTATAAAATGATGGCACAGCACTTTCAGAAAAAGTAGAATCTGATTTTGCAAGAGAAGACAACTGTGGACCCACCAAAGTTTCATTCTATTAAAAGAAATAAAGAAAATGGGGATATAGTAAGATTCCTATGACTACCATCTATACACATAAAACAAGCTATAGGAAAAATAACTGAGGGTGACAATTTTTTTCTGGAATACAGTATTACTCTATTAGGTTCAGAGGATTAGAGCTGGAACAGACTTTAATCTAACCCCATTCTACTATCATGAAAATTGCCTAATTTACAACCAAGGAAAAGTTTAGATAACAGGAAGATTAAAGCTCTACATAATAATCTTTATTTTAGTTTTTGGTATCTGGTGATAATAGCTTTACAGTACTTCCCAAATAAACAAGCATTCCTGATAAGATCTATAGTTAGTATTGCAATACCAACTGTCATTTGTAAACACCACCGTACTTCAAGATACCTATTGTAATAGATATTCTATAATTCTTACAATGGCAAAAAGTTCCCCTACAATGTTTCCCAAAAATCACCTGGATACTAATATTACTATCAACATATTTTTGAATTATTATCCAGGTGAGTTAACATCCCACAGCTGAAATCCTAAAAGACTTCAGACACTGCCTCTGTCCTCAGTCTAGATCATAAATATCATTAGAATATCTTGTTTCCAGATGTTTGTTTACAGAAGAAATTGTTGAGTGCGTCAAACCCCAGAACACTACACAGCCCAAAAGATTAAATCCATAATCACTTAAAAGTGTTCAATCTAACAAACCACTAATGAAATGAAAGAAGCCTATAACTAGAAGTATGATGTGGCTGGCTGGGTAGTCCATTACGTGTGTCCATCAGTACATATCTAGGACAGAAATTGCAAACAGACTGTGAGATGAGCCCCCAATTGAATAAGAGTTAGAATGAAAGTTGGATTGCATTTGCTAAACTCAGTGGTACTTTCAGTGATGCTAAGTAGCTCCTTGACACATAAAGCCAAATTTTTCACCTATTTTCCCATAATGATGTACAACTGTACATAATATTATCAATATGGAATACCACAACAAAAACTATAGACAATACAAAGGTCAATGAAGAGGCATATTTCGGGTTTAAGTAGGCTGCATCAAATTACCAATAATGATTTGTGCACAAGAAATGGCATAAGGGATATCATAATAAATGTGAGTGGAAAAGGATGTGAGCAAGTAGCGCTGGTAAGTGTGAGGGGCATTAGACTGGGAACGTTGCATTGGTACCTATATTAAAACATCAAAGTGGTTTGTTCCTCTATGGATGACTTATAGATTTATGATTATAGATGACAGCATGGACAAAAATTGCACAGGATATGGCTGGGTTATAGGTTTGAGGAGTTCCCACATAGATGAGATCACTGTACTACTAAAGAACTGAACTATGGTTTAGGATCATGCTAGTGCTTAGAAAAGACCAAAATTTATGTAAGGAATTAGTGTTCTTGAGACCATAGATTTAGAGTTAAAAGGGACCTGAAAGGCCATAAGGTTTTACACTCTTATTTTACAAATGAGGAATCTATGGCTCAGAGATTTAATTAAGTGGCTTGCCCAGGGTAACACAGCTAGTGTCTGGAGCAGGATTTGAACTGAGGTCTTCTGCCTTCAACCCCAGCTCTCTAACCACCAAAAACATTCTGCCTGAGGTGCTTGGTTTGAGAATGTCAAGTCATCAAAATCTAGCTATCGATTTAAATTTCTTTATAGGAAGAAACCTAAGTAAATGGAATGGGAAAAAAATGATGCCCTAAAAAACATCTGAGAAGCACAGAACTCACCTCTGTCTCTCTTGGTCGCTTACAACTTTTACTTTCCGCAGATTTTACTAGTTGACTTGCCATAGTATCTCATACACAATTTCTGTAAAGTCAAAAGTAATGCCTAATTTAGGTGCAAATTATATCAAAGCTTAGGTCCTTGATATCTGAAGGTCCTTACTGAAAAACACCTGAAAATAGAAAGGTTTTCAAAAGTCAGCGATGTGTTAGTCTTAATTCATCTACTAAAATGGTGTTATATATTTTTTAAAAGCTACAGCAAAGGACTAGGCACTCTGTGTACCAAAATATTTTGTAAGGAATCTGTAATCACAATACTGATGTTTAAAAAATCTTTTTTGTCTTGTTTCAAAAATGCCTAATACAAATCTCTTATCTTCTGAGAATTACAGAATCTTAAAAATGAAAGGACTCTTAGGGATGAATTTTTACCCCAACCTCCTCAATTTTAGATGAAGAAACTAAAGTTAAATGATCTGGTCAAGGCCACAAAGCTAGTTACTTCAGTAATACAGCTAAAAAAATTTTTAAGCCTCCTTACCTCTTAATCTAATTCTATTTCCACAACTACCTTCAAAGAGCTTTAGTTTATTTTTTTTAAATAAAGACGAATTTTCTCCTGTAACTCTGAAGATTCTTCTGCATACAAAGGTGTTAATTTATTTCTTTTGGTAATTTATTTACAACACATCCACTCCCTCAATTTATGTATTTACCTATTGGGAGATCACAGGAGCTTAGCTTTAGAGCTAAGAAGAACCTTAGAGAACACAAAAAGAAAAAAAGGGACAGAACAACTAATCCATCTCCCTCATGCTACCATGAGGTACAGAGATTAAATGATTTGCCCGTCACAAAAGAAATAAGTAGGATAGGAAGAGCTAAGTTCTCTGACTTCAGATCCTATCAACTGTACCACACCACATCTCAGATCTGAGACACTCTAAAATCTGTCCAGTTTCTCTATTCTTATTCTCAAGCAGACTGAGCTAGGTTGTTTATTTATATCTAATATTCTTAAATATAAAAATAGGTAATATTCTTAATACATTCAGAATAGTACTCAATCATTATTTGTCCCTTTAGACATTATTTGGTTTCCTTGCTCTGGAAATCTAAGAAAAAAAAAATTAAGAAGCAGTTACTGCTGGGAGGCAGACTAAGATTCAGATGATATTTGCCTTCAGGATAATAGCGGTATTTGGTGTCAGGAAACATTATGTCACTGAGTCTAAGTCCAATAATGTTGGGGTTTATTTTTCTTTCTCTAGGCAACCTGTCTTCTCCCATTTCCCATATTTGCTCTCTCTTCCCCTTCCTGGGTAAGAAAAGTGGTGCAGTGCAAAGTTAACTCACGTCAAAAACAGGAAAAGGAACTATTTATAAGAAAATACCCACAGCTGCTATACTTACATTAACAAGAAAAGTTCCAAACTCACATGGCTGAATAAATTATGATACATTAACAGAACACTGTAGTATCAAAAAATAATAACTATGAAGCATACAAGGAAATATATAAAGCTATGGTGTCAGCTAGGTGGTTTAGTGGATAGGGTACTGTGCTTGGAGTCAGGAAGACCTCAGAAACTGCTTACCTTGTGTGACCTTGAGCAAGTCACAACTTCTGTTTACCACTGGAGAAGGAAATAGTAAATCACTCCAGTATTTTTGCCAAGAAAACCCCACCAACAGAGTTTAGGACTGAAACAACTGAACAACAAATGGTCTCAGAAGATCTGGGTGCAAATCCCACTGTTGACAATAAAAAACTGTATGAGCCTGGGCAAATCACTTATGAGGCTTTGGACTGAATGATCTATCAGGTCTTTTCCAAATCTAACTCTATGATCCTATACCCTACAGAGATGAAGTGAGATGAAAATACCTGAATTGGAACCACATATACTACACTTTCATTTTTTAAAAGAAGAAAAAATGTAGGAAAACATCCCAAAGTTGGTCGAACTTCAGACTGGTCTGAAAGAAAAACATACCCAAAGCAATTTTTTCAACATGGTTTGGGAATTCTTTGGTGTTTGGGGCAATTTTCCACCTTGTTTTACATGCTTAATTAATTGCTTGTTGATATTTATTAACCAAATAAAAATCTGTTTCTAAAAGAAAAGGGCACTTGGCTGAGCCTGAATAAACTGGTTTAAAGCTAAGTTCCTCTTTTCCAACTACTTAGCTGTGGGCCAGCTGTCACAGCACAGCAGCTCAATGGGTCTCAATTTCCTCATTTGTAAAATGAGGGCCCTGGTCTAACTCAGGGTGGGAAACCAGTGGCCCCAGGCCACACCTGGCCTTCTATTCTAGGTCCCTGGGTGGGGCCTTTTGACTGAGTCCAAGTTTTACAGAACAAATCCTATTATTACAGTCCAAAGGCCGCACTTGAGGACCGAGAGGGCCACATGTGGCCTCGAGGACGCAGGTTCACCACCCCTGGGGTAATCTCCAGCATTCAACGATCTTGCCAGTGTCTCACCTCCCCTCTTATGTCTCTGGCCTCTTCCCCTTTTCTTCTCCCTTCCCCCAATGTGTTCTTATATCTGCAGCATTGAACCCTTCACTATTCGGATTAATGGCAAACAATACATTTACCCAACGGCTTGATTCAAGGCCAGAAAACGCCTGTCCATTTCCCACCCAACACCACCACCCCTCCACCCCCCCCCCCCCGCCCCGGCTTGGACCCTTCTCCCACTTCCCCTCCACTCTAGCCCCTTGGGCCCCCTCCCCTCACTCGCCCCCACCCCACCCTGGTCAGGCCCTTCCCCAACTCTGTGACTGGGTTAACACCACGTTGAAAATTACCACAAACCTTCCGCTCCTCCTTTCCTGACTCCTCTCTCCCTCATCCCCAACCCCCTGGCCGGTGGCCTCATGCCCCAGCTCTGCAGTCCTCCCCAGACCAGGGTCCCAGACGCCACACTCTCACTCCCCTCACCTCAAGCCCACTTTACCCTCGGGCGCCAGACTCAGCAGGCCCTCTTCCTCCCCTCAGCTCCGGCCCTGCCACGTGCTCTGACACCTGACAGGGCGGGGCCTAGCTACGTCACCGCAGGGGAGTACCCGGGAGGGGGCAAGCGTGCTCAGAGCGTGCTAACGGTCACAGAGCCCCAGCGCCCTGCAGAGCGCAGATGTGCGCACGTGACTGAAAAGCCATCACTACCTGCGCCCCCTTAGTCTATTTTTCCAACCCCACCGAGGGTGTCACCCATTGTGAACTCCAATGAACTTGTCATGTATTTTTTGTAGTCGTTTCAGTCCTACTCTTTGTGACCCCATTTGGGGTTTTCTTGGCAGAGATACTGGAGTGGTTTGCAATTTTCTTCTCCAGTTCATTTTACAGATGAGGAAACTGAGGCAAACCAGGTGAAGTGACTTGCCCAGGGTCACAGTTTGGAAATGCCTGAGGTCACATTTGAACTCAGGTCTTCCTGACTCCAGGTCCAGTACTCTGTCCACTTCAACACCAAACTGCCTACCTGACAACTTGTTGTTTTGTCCTTTGTTTGGAAGAGAACCAATGACATCATGGCCGACATCTTGACTTGCACCTGAATTAGATTTCAGTTGCACAAAGTCATTGGGCTCATTCTCACTTCCAGAGTCATCAAAGTCCAGTGGCAAGACAAAACATTGCATGACGCTGTAGAGCTCTTAGAGCTTGGTTAGACATAGAAGACACTGAGATCTTCCAGATCATTCACTGCATCCTGAGCCATCATCAGTCATCTTGACTCTGTCCTGCCTCTGACTTTGCCAACTCTGGAAGAGAGTGAGGCCAATGACTTCATGCATGAACTCTGCCTCACTTAAATCCAATTTATGCACACATCAAAAGATATTACCCATACCATTTTACCATTTTTACTTATTTCAAAGTCCTGTGGTGACAGGCAAGTGATGAAGCAGCCAGTGAGGATATACTGGGAGCTGTAGTCACAACCCTGCATACAGGCGGCCCAGACCATAAGGATGTCTTGTCACGTGAAGCAGCAATGGGATTCAGAAGTCCCCTAGGTGTATAAGCAGCCTTTTGAGGACCACACTGCTCACCTCCTGGTATCAGGAAGGGGCTAGAAAAGGTGCCCTAAAAACTGTCTGCTTGACCAACCCTTACCTGTTTACCAAGGCAGGCAGGAATTCCACCCTGCAGTAGAAACACAAAGTGTACAAAAATTTCTGCAGATGATTCCACTCATCATCATCACAAGGAATGTGCGCACACTTTGGACAACACAAAATCCAGTGGACCTGAAAGACGAACAGCTCTTGTTGAGAGAGAACTCAGTAGGTATTTATCCAAATAGCAGCCCTGAATGGAACAAGGCTGGCAAATGAAGGCCAGCTTACTGAAGTCAGAGCTGAACACACATGATGTGTGAAGTGGGGTGAAGGGGGAATGCTGTGAAGCTGATGTAGGTTTCGTAATCAAAACTAATCCAGTCAACAAGCTTATATGCCTACCAAAAGGAGTGAACAACAGGCTCATGACAATGTGATTGCCACTTGAAGGAAAATGCCCACAACACCATTGTCAGTGCCTATGCTCCCACCATGACAAACCCTGATAAAGCCAAAGAAAAATTTTATAAAGACCTGGAGATCCTTATCATCAATGTGCCAAAAGAGGACAGGCTTATAATTCTGGGTGACTTTAATGTTAGAGTAAACATAGACTACCAGACATGAAAGGGAGTCCTTGGGAAGAATGGAGTCAGCAACAGCAATGGTCACTTTCTACTAAAAACTTGTACATCTCATGATCTTCTCATCACTAACACTATCTTTTATTTACCTAAATGCAATAAAACTTCATGGATACACCCTCACAGCAAACATTGGCATTTAATAGACTATGTGATTGTAAGAAGATACAGACAGGATGTGAGAGTGAAGAAGACAATGTATGGCGCAAAGTGCTGGACTGATCATTGACTTATTGTCTCCAAGCTAAGTATTCACATTCAACAAAAGTGGCAGCTCCAAAGCAATATGACTACCAGTAGACTTAATGTCAACAGATTAGAACACTTCTCTAAGCAGGAACAGTTCATTGCTGACTTGGAGGGAAAGTTGAACCAACACACAATTGGCAACAGTGGAGCAGAAAAAGAGTAGGCAGTTTTCAGATATTTGGCGTACAGCACTATATTTGCTCATCTGGGTCAGAACACTCAAAAATATCAAGACTGGTTTGATGAAAATGATGCGGAAATTCAGAACCTATAAATGAAAAACAAGAACTCCACAGGGTTTACCAGTAGGATAGTTCATCCATCTCTAAGAAAGCAGCATTTAACTCCATCAAAAGTAGAGTAAAATCAAAGCTTAGAGAGATGCAGGATTCAAGAATGTTCAGTAACAAGGCAGATGAAATTCAATTTTATGCTGATAGTAATAATCCGAAGTGCTTTCATGATACCCTGAAGGTTATTTATGATCCAAATACCTTTGGTGCATCTCAGCTACTCAGTGCTGATGGAGCCACATTGATTAGTGGTAAGGACATGATCTTGGAGAGATGGACTGAACACTAGTGTTCTCAACAGACCATCATCGGTCAATGCTGGAGCCATTGACCATTCACTTCAGGTTGAAGCCAATCCCCCTCTAGACAAATTTCCAACTGAAGAAGAGGTTTTGAATGCCATTAAGCTCCTTTCCTGTGGCAAAGCACCTGGTGCTGATTCTGTTCCAGTTGAGATTAAGGTGGGGGTCCATTGCTCATACAATAGCTGACTGAAATTTTCCAGGTTATATGGCAAAAGGAGGTTATCCCTCAGGACTTCAAGGATGCTTCCATCGTCCATCTCTATAAAGGTAAATGAGACAAGATTGTCTTGTGACAATCACAGGGGAGTCTCTCTTAGTCATTGCTGACAAGATTCTTGCCAGAGTCCCCCTTAATAAGTTAATCCTTCACCTGGAAAATGGGCAACTGCCTGAGAGCCAGTGTGCCTCAGAAAGGGCCCAGGAATGGTTGATATGATGTTTGCTGCCCAACAGCTCCAGAAGAAATGCCAGCAGAACAAAGGTCTGTACACAACGTTTGTCGATCTGACCAAGGCCTTTGATACTGTACATCATGAAGACTCACGGAAAATGATGTCAACATTTGGTTGCCCAGAGAAGTTCATCAGTATTGTACATCGATTTCATGAAAGCATGTTTGCCTGGGTTCTAGATAATGACCATACTCTCAGGCTTTCCCAGTTACCAATGGAGTGAAACAAGGTTGTGTGCTTGCTCCCATGGTTTTTAACATGATGTTTTCAGCCATGTTGTCAAACGCCTTCAATGATGATGAACACGATGTCAAGGTCAGCGACTGCACTGATGGTAAATTATTCAACTTGAAAATGTTATAAGCCAAAACTAAAGGGGAGGGAGTTTCGGTGCATGATTTTTTGTTTGCAGATGATTATGCACTCAATGCAGCCTCTGAAGCTAAGATGCCACAAAGTATGGATCAATTCTCTTCTGCTTGTGCTAATTTTGGTCTAACAATTAACACCAAGAAAACACAGATGCTCCATTGGCCAGAACCACACTATCCATATGTGGAACCATTGGTTTCAGCAAATGGAAAAGTTTTGAATACTGTGGATAAGTTCACTTACCTTGGCAGTATGCTTTCCAAGGATGTACACAATGATAATGAGGTGGACACACAAAATGCCAGAGCTAGCTCAGTTTTGAGGAAGCTCCAAAGGAAAATGTAGGAGAGAAGAGATATTAGACTGACTACCAAAGTGAAGGTCTACAGAGCCATTGTGGGGACTTCATTGTTATATGCCTGTGAAACCTGGACAGTATACCAGTACCATGCCAGGAAACTGAATTGCTTCCATTTGAAATGTCTTAGGAAGATTCTGAAGATCACCTGACAGGATAAGGTTCCAGACACTGAGGTCCTTTCTCTCACTAAACTGCCAGGCATTCAAACTCTACTACAGAGAGCACAACTCCGATTGGCTGGTCATGTTGTTGGAATGCCAAATGTATCCTTGCCTAAAAGGCTATTTTATGAAGAACTCACACAGGGCAAGTGCTCACATGGTGGTCGGAAGAAGTGATACAAGGACACTCTCAAAGTTTCTCTTAAGAATTTTGGAATTGGGTGCAGCTAGGTGGTGCAGTGGATAGAGCACCGGCCCTGGAGTCAGGAGGACCAGCATGAGACCAAACACTTGACACTTACTAGCTGTGTGACCCTGCGCAAGTCACTTAACCCCAATTGCCTAAAAATGAAAAAAAAATTAAAAAAAAAGAATTTTGGAATTAATTGCGTAACATGGGAGACACTGGCATACAACCGCCCAGCATGACATGCTCTCATCAAAGAAGGTGCTGTGCTCTACGAGCAAAGCAGAATTGAAGTAGCTCAAAAGAAATACAAGATGCACAAATCTAGAGGATCCACCCCAAATGTTCACATGGACTATTTGTGCCTGACCTATGGTGGAGCATTCCGAGCTCATATTAGTTGATCAGCCACAGTCAGACACACTGTAACTTGACTCTAATACAATGATGTCATTTTGGTCCTCTTGGAGAACAAAGGACAGCAACCACTATTCAGCTGTCGAAGGAATCTTTTAAAACACAGGTCTGGAGTCTGGTAAGGTCACCTTTCTACTCCACAAACTCCACTGGCTCCTATCAACAGGCTCAAATAAGAAATCCTCTTTTTGGTGTGCTACCTTCCATAATTCTTATACCTTACTGCCTTCCACACACTTTGGGATCCAGTGACTGGCCTCCTTGTAGATCCTAGAACAAAGGACACTAGCACTAGCCTGGGAATGTTTTTCTCCAGCTGGGCTCCCCACTCCCACCCCCTTGCCAGTCACTTAGTAGTGCAGTACCCTGCCGGGACTGGACTTAAAATTTGGCCTCAAAAACTTCCTAGCTGTGTGACCCCAGGCAAATTATTTAATCTCTGTTTGCTTCAGTTTCCTCATCTAAAAAATGAGGATGATAA